AAAATTTCAAAAAATTTAGAAAATTGGTAGGCTCTATTTTTCTGCTTCAATCTTTGAGGAAATGGAGATGATGGTCTTTCTATAGAAATTTTCATTGAATTTTCATTGGCTTAATAGGACTTTCTGCTTTAAAATGAAAATCTTCACTAGATTTTTCATTTTCCACATCTTTTTCAATTTCAACTTCTGGTGTTCCTCTAAACTGACTGTTTTGTACCATTTGGATAATAACAGATTTAAGCTCAAATGAATTGGCAGCTACATCAGGGTTCTGTATGCTCAAATGGATTTCATCTACTGTAGGATCAGCATAATCTCTTAAAGGTCTCTGATGATGTTCATTTTCATTTCCAACATTACTCAAATTGCAAACCATTTTGCTAAATGATCATTTTTTTGGTTGTTTTTGAATTTTTCTAATAGTTCTCTTTAACTCAGAATCGTAAGGTACTAAATTTTCAGATCTTACACTACGCATAAAGAAACAAAACAAGTGATTAAAAATAAACAAACAAACTTAAATAAGAAAATGTTAAAAAACTAAACTACAAACACTCTTTTTTTATATTTTTATAATAAACTAAAATAACTTACTAATATTTTCCGTTACTTCCTTGACAACGGTGCCAAAAACTTGATGCGGGTAGATTTAGTGTGTAAATTTTGCAAATATTTTTCAATATTACAAAATACACACGACGGATATAACAATAAATATGCAATATAATCCCAACAAAAATACATTTTATGAAAATAATTTATCTTTAAAACTCTCCCTTTAAAATCAACGCAAGCATACTTATCACTCAAGTAATAAATAACTCTAATGAAGTCCTAGATATCAATCCTATAGGGAAGTTCAAAAAGATAAGTAAATTTTAAAAATTATTTTATAATTTAAAAGTATAAAAGTAAAAGTAAAGTGCAAAGTTTTAATATTAACTACTAAAGTGAATGTTATATAAAATGCAGTTTAAAGACAGAGTTAAATAACAAAAAATTAAACTTTCAAAAGTAAAATTATGAAAACTAAACAAAGTTTTTATTGATGGAAGATTCAAATTTAAGAAAGCATCCTTCCCATTTACAATGAGTATATGGATTTTGAAGAAATTAAGATCATTTGAAAATATATATCAAAATTGTTTTGTGCCAAATAGGAGCAATCATATTCTTTACCCTCTTCAAAGTGTTATAAAGAACATTGACTAATCTAGAGTTTGGTCCCTAATTCTGTGGTTAGGCAGGGAGGATACCGGCTGCTACTCCAGAGCTCCCACTACTCCCTCTCATGAGGGCTAAGATTCTCGTATTAGTTTCCAATCAACTGGACCAAATTAGGGATTTTAGTCTGTCACCTTAAAATCTCTAATTCTGCATCCAACAAAGTACATTTCCTTATTTATTTGCACTCAATTCCATTGATGACATACTCTCTCATGAAATTAAATGTGATTCTCCCCTTATTGTAGAAATCATAGCTCTTTTCAAAACATATGTTTCTTAACATGTTTTAACATTAAAATTGGCCAGATCAAAAAATAAATGAAGATTGAGTTCAAATCATCACAAATTATTGACATTTAAATCATAGAAAACAAAATCAATTATTTACAAAATCATATCTCAAAGTAGGGAGAAGGATAACGAAGATTACTCAGAATTCATGAGAAAGATATCACAAAACAAGGATTTCATATATAAAAACAACTTTATAAAACAAAAGAAATAAAAGACACAACTTATCTCACAATCCTTCCCAAGCAAATCCCTAAAAATTCTCTCCAAGACTTTCTCTCCTTACAAGCACACTCAATTCCCTCTTAGAAGTGTAATGAAGAAGAAACCTCTCACATTCCCTCTCCTCTTACAACCCTAGATACAACCCTAGCTTACAACCCTAGAAGAAAATCTCTTCTTCTTCTCTCCTTGCCTTTCATGCCACCCCCCCTTTCTTATCTTTTTCGTCCCCCCCCCCCTAAACTCCTTTGAAATCTTCCTCTTTTATTTTGGGCTGCCTCTTTTCAAAAGGAATTCAAAATTCCCTCCAAAATTCTCTCCAAAAGTAAACTCTTTTGAATTCAAAAGATGTGTCATTTGATCTAAGAGACATATCCCTTCATAAAAAAACTTTCCAAAGTATCTAGATGCATTAAATTACTCCAATAAGTGTGTAGAACAATAGTCCCTTTAAAAATTCGCACAAAATTCATCTTGAACTATCTTAATCCGCAAAAAGTCATCTCTGGCACATCACGCGCCAAACCTCTGTCAAACGGCGCATCATGCGCCAAAATTCCAAAATTTGTTATTTTGGCTCTGAATTTCTTCCTTTTTACCATTTTTGCTCCAAATACCTAAAAATTGCTCCAAATACATTTTTGCTCCAAATACCTAAAAATGATATGCCTGCAACAAAAACATGAAAATATCATTCTTTAAAGTGCAATATCACAAAAAATAAGCATAAAATATGTACTTAAAATAAAATTTTATTTTTGTGTTAGTAGTTAGTCGTGTTGGTCTTGTTGACATACTGTCAAATGAATGATACTGTCGATGCTTTTGCTCTAATAATAGATAAAAAGAAGATTAAATCACTGGTATTATATAAATCGTTCCTATATGTATCGTAACTACATTGGGTAATTATTCAAGTTTAACTATATCTTATAATTTTGCATAACATTCATTATATACTTATCCCATGATGACAGTTATGCCATTTTATGCAAATACATAAAGATACATACATATCAATCTTCGTAGAACACATTACAAAGGAAAATGTCAAAAATGTAGAAATTTTATTAATTCCTATTATTGATAAACAACGCTGGATGTTGTTGGCGGCACATCTGAAAGGAAAAAAAGTGGAAATTATATGAGTCTTTACCCAACATGATGCACAGGGCGATCACCCACAGTGTTGTAAGTATATTCAACAGAAGCTCAGTGATTTGTTATTCAACTCATATTTTTTGGTATTTTATGAAACATTTTAATTTAACATGAAGCTTTACATATTAATCTATTAGTAAGAGATGCTCGTAAAATTTTTTAAAGCAATCCATCAAAATGGCCAGTAGTTATGTCTAGAGGCCCCCTACACAAACTAACAGTGTCGACTGCGGCATATTTGTTTGCAAATATATGTAAACATTAGTGGGAATCAAAAGAGTTGATTGGAACACATATTTACATGTAACACCACATAACACCTCAATAATATCACAATAATACTGCAATAACACTATAATAATATCAATTGAATTCCGCCACAATACTATTATAATACCACAATAACATCTTAATAACACCACAAAAATTCTGTAATAATATCATAATTACACGACATTAACACCATAATAACACAATCATAACACTTTAATAACACCACAATAATACTACATTAGCACCATAATAACACCGATCAAATACTACCACAAAATCACCACAATACTATTCTTGAACCACAATAACATCTAAAATAATAGCACAATAACACCTCAATAACACAAAAAAAAATACTGCAATAACGCCACAACAATACTTCAATACAAGCAAAATAACACCTCAATAACACCAAAATAATATCACAATAACACAATAATATCACAATAACACCATAATAACACAATACCACTCAAATTATGAAATTATTACAGAATATCATCACAATACCACTCAAATAACACCTCAATAACACCAGTCAAATACCATCACAGAGCCATCACAATAAACCTAAATAACACCTTAATAACACATAAATAACACAATAATAATATCACAATACCACTCAAATAACACCGCAATAACACCAGTTTAATATCACCACAGAGCCGCCATAGTACCACTCAAATAACACTATAATAACACCTCAATAATCCATCAATAACGTTGTAATAATATTGCAATTACATCATAATAACACCAGTCAAATACCCACACAAATTTGTAATAATAACACCTCAATAGCACCCCAATAACAAAAAATATCGTGATAACATCATAATAAAACCATAATAACACTCTAATAACACTTCAAAAACACATCAATAACACCACAATAATACCCCAATAACACTATAATAATACAACAAGAACACCGGTCGAATACAACCACAGACCGCCATAATACCTCTAAAATAACATCTGAATAATACCATAAAAATACTGCAAGAACACCATAGTAATACCACAATAACACCATAATAACACATCAATAACACCATAATAATATCATAATAACACCATAATAACACCACAATAGCACCATCCGAACACCACCATAGAACCATCACAATACCAATCAAATAACACCACAATAACAATTCAATGACACCACAAAATACCGCAATAACAACATAATAATACCTCAATAACACCTCAATGACACGACAATAATATCATAATGACATCATAATAACACTTCAATAACATCAATCGAATACCACCACATATCTGCCACAATGCCAATAAAATAACACCACTATAATATCTCAATAACTCATGAATAACACTACAATAATAGCACAATAACATGATAATAACACTGTAAAAGAACACCAGTTGAATACCATCACATAATCACGACAATACCACTCAAATAACGCCACAAAAATACCGCAATAATACTATAATAACACCATAATAAATCTACAATAATATCTAAATAACAACTTAAAAAATCACACTAATACTGCAATACTCCTCAATAAGGCCACAATAATGCCGCAATAACACCATAAATTAATACTAATATTTTAAATCAAGCAAAACTCATCTTCATTTCAAATTTCTCATCATTATTTTTAGATTTCATCATCTCTATTTCAAATATCTCATTATTTTTTTATTCAGATTATCACCTCCAATTTAAATTTCTCACTATAGAAGAATTGAGAAAATTACCCTGTGAAATTCTATCTGACGAGATTAGAAGAAAATGAAGATTAAATCGAGCCAATAAGTTTTATTTTCGAAGCAATGAAGCGGATCGCGTCAGATGCATTTGTACTTTTCATTTTATATTCCGTCGGTCCGCCGCTTATGCTTCAAGAAATCTCGTTGGAATATTCTCTCGCTGCGGAGTCCCTGCCCGTCCTCATCTCGCGCTTGATCTCGAGGAACGCATCTCTCGCTTCTCTCGGCCCCTTCTATTCCGCATATACCGCTTCGACCTTGCCGTCTACCTCGACGCCGGCAACCTCCACAACCTTCCCCGCCTAATAGCTTCTTCCAGGAGTCCCCCACTGTACCACTTGTAGTTGCGTGCTAGGAAGTTTTCGTTCTCCATTTTCCGGTATTCTTACAGCCACGATATCCCTTCTTCACTTAACTTTTATTTATATTGCCAATGCATAACTATAGATGAACATTCTAAGCTGTTTTGTGTATTTTTTTCTTAGGTTTTGTATACTGTGGATCTTTCAATTGGTTGTTATAAAGGGGACAAATTATTCTTATTTTGTATTTGCACCATTGTTGTATCATCAGGTATTCACTAACTAATAAAGATTTTTGAAAGTCTAAACTTTAAATATTTGCTTTTTCCGATTCAAACTTCTGTTTGGATTTCGAAATGTCCGGGTGCTTATAATATCCTCTTCTGCGCATTGTTTCTTTTTTGTTTCTGCCCAAGTAATGCACAACCTTTGTGTACTTATAACATATTGCCTTTAATTCTCATAATACTTGCACAGTAAATACAAGAAAACAATCATATAGAATGATTGGGAGAGGTATAAAAAAATATAATAATTTTAAGCTCAATTTTTATATAATAATAATAATAATTAGTGGCTTTAATGATTCTAAAGATTGGGTTTTATATTTCGGGGGTTTTAATTTATTCTTAAGGAAAGAATAAAATATATTGTTTGAAATATCATACTACAAATATGGTAGAAACTCTTTTTTCTTTGACCAGTACTTAAAATTTGAAATCAATTTAAATTTCTTAGAAATTAGGAAAGCTCAGATTTTTTTCTAACATCTTTTTGTTAAAGATAGAATGTAATAATTAGAAAAGTATATGAAACATGATATGTACATTATGCTTGATATATAAATAGATTTTATATATGCACTTACCTTTTTTAATTAAAAATAGTAGCTCCATCCATTAGAAAATGTTAAATGTTAAAACACTAGGAGGGTCCTATTTCAAATTGAGTTCTCTTATTATTTTGTAAATTTTGAGGAAATTTTATCATAGTTTAATAATATGTATAGATATGTAACCAAACAACCTAAAAGGGGCTTTGTTGAAAAAAAGAGTGTAGGGACTATTTGGTTATTAATAAAAGGAATGCACTAAAATCCTTTTGCATGGGTTTTCAAAATCATAGGTTTGGTTGGAAGAATAACAAATACAACAACAACAACAACAAGCCTTTATCCCACTAAGTGGGATCAGCTACATGAATTCTTTTTCTCCATTGCGTCCTATTGAGTGCCATATTTTCATTTAATTCTAATGATTATCATTTTTTATACAATATGCCCAAGTCTTTTAGGCCTACCTCTACCTTTTTTAACATTAGTTAAAGCTAAACATCTACTCTATTAACTAGATCATCTGTTGGTCGACGTTTAATGTGACCAAACCATCTAAGATGACTCTCTCTAATCTTGTCTGCCACTGGAGTTACACAAACCCTATCACGGTTATATTCATTTTGCATTTTGTTTCTAAGTGTCAAGCCACTCACCCACCTATGTTTTTTGCTTCTCTTTTAAAGGCCAACATTCTGTGTCGAGCATTCCAGGTCTCACCACTATATTATAAAATTTCCCTTTTAGTTTAAGTGGTAATTTTCTATCACACAATAAAATCGAAGCATTCATTCACTTCAACAAACCAACTTAATTTCTTTTACAAACATCCCCATCTATATCACCATCACTCTGAACATTAGACCCGAGATATCTAAAACTTTCACACCTCTTGATGATTTGATCATCCATAGTTACAACTCAACCACTAGAGCTACTACTGCTAAAATTACATTCAATGTGTTCAGTTTTAGTTCTACTCAAATGAAGGCCTTAAGGCTCCAATATAGACCTCCCTAATTCAAGTTTTTCCTGAACTCTTTCTCTAGTCTTATCCACAAGAAGGATATCATCAGTGGAAAACATACACCAAGATACATCCTCTTGTAAATGTGTGGTAGGAGCATTTATAACTAAAACAAAAAGATATGGGCTTAAAGCCAATCCCTGATGTAATCCAACTGAAATGGGAAAATACATGGTCAGTCCTCCTTCAGTTCAAACACAAGTAACAACTCTAATATGCAGATCTTTACTGACTTGATTATACGTCATATCAACACCTTTCTCCTCTAGAGCTCTCGAAAGGACTTCTCTTGCAACCTTATCGTAAGCTTTTTTTTTTAATCAATAAAAATCATATGTTGATCTTCCTTATTCTCTCTGTACTTCAACATCGAACCTCTTAATAAATGTATAACTTCCATAGTAGACCTGCCTGACATAATACAAACTAATTATGAAAAATCTTTGCATAATGTTTTAACTTATGTTTAATTACCCTCTCTCATAATATTAAAGTATAGCGCATAAACTTAATTCCTCTATAATTTACACACTCATGTGCACCCCCTTTATTCCTAAAATGGGGACCAAAATACTCTTCATCCACTCCTCAGGCATCTTTTTAGTTTTTAAAATAATATTAAAGAGTTTAGAAAGTCAAGAAACTCTCAAATCTCCTAAATACTTCCACACTTCAATTTGGATATGAGCAGGTCTTACTAATTTTTCACCCTTGGTTCTCATCAACTTCTTTTTTACTAATGCAATAGTAAAATATTTTTTTTATTATTAAAGATATTAATATCACTAAAATCGATTATATTTTTAGAAACTTCATTGAAAAATTTATCAAAATAGCTCACTTACCTATATTGAATATATTTTTTTAAGAAAAACATTTTTATTTTTTTATCTTTAATACACTTTACTTGAGTTAAATCTTTATTATTATTTTGTCTTTGTTTGACTAGTTTATACATATATTTTTAACCTTCTTTAGTATCTAATCTACTATAAATATTACTAAAGATAGAATTTTTAGTGTCACAAATTGTTCTCTTAGATTCCTAACTGGTATCTTATATTTTTCTCAATTCTCTAAGCTTTTACATTTAAACTAATTTTTATAACACTTCTTATATTTTATCTTTTCTCACACTTTATTGTTCAATTACCAATTATTTTTATTCATATAAATATTTCTTTTTGATTCTCCATATACATCTTTTTTCACTTGTTTAATAGCGTTTGTTACTTTATCGCACATAGAATTTGTTTCTTCATGAATTTCCTAAATCTCAAAATTTTGAAATTTTGAATGAATAACAAATGTAATGTAAAACCGCAATACATTTGGAATTTATTCACTTGTTCAATTTCATGTATTTAGAATTCGTTAGATTTGGGTGAATTCTAAAGTGTGCTCACTTTGCTGCCCTCAACTTGCCAACTGTTGGCCGATTGCAGCAACACCCAAACTTGTCACTACTGTTGCCCTCTAGCAGCTCTTCGCTTTAGCTGGCCTGGCACGACCGCCTCTCGGCAACCCATTGCCGCTCTTGACTGCCCATTGCCGCCTCTCGACAGCCGATAGACAGCCCATTGCTGCCATCTATCCCTGCCTTCTTGTCGGCATTTAGCTACCCTTGCTTTGCTTTGTTGCAGCTCCCTGGTCGTTAGTCGTTGTCACTGCCACTACGAACTACTCATCATTGCTCATCTTCGACCACTGTCGTTGCCTACCATCGGCCACCATCGCCACTATATGGCAATGCTTTCACCATTGACAAACATTTTTTGCATTAATTTTGTTTTTTTCGGACCCAATAAAAATGTAAAGTTCTGTTTTTATTTTATATTGAACAAAACAACTCTAAAATATTCCAAATGTAATACATTTTTTTTACAATGCAGTTATTTTTTGTCAAATAACTCTGTAGTGTAAACGAAATGTAGTGTAATCGAAATATAGTTGGTTTGAAATATTTTGAAATTCTTTGTTTTTTTTGTAAAACACATCCAAGAGTTTATCCTTTTTGTGTTTAGTTTGATGTAAAATGAAATTAATTAAAAACCCAACGGTGGGTAATAGACTATAATGAGGGTTGGTGGATGTTGAGGACTGGTGGCCAACAGGGGCAGTGGGGCCCACAATAGTGGCGGGTTGAGGTTTGCTGCAGCGCTCAGTGGTTGATATAACACTTTATGGAATATATTTGAAAATCAGTCAAATATGGCGAGTTGGAATGCACCCTAAATGAACTCTATGATGAGTTTGAAGTTCACTAAAATTTACTTTTCATTCAAATTTCAATAACCCAAATACAAAAAATCTTAAATCTCTTGCATTCCAAATGCAATACACCAAATTTACATCAAATAAAACAACTCCTAAATAAAATAAATGGTTTGCAAGAAGTTGAACCGTGGGTGACATTTGGCATACATTTAAAAGCTTGTTATCGAATAATATCATCACCTTAAAATATGGATCTAACATAATATAATTTGAATATTATCATTTTGATTAATATTTAACAACCTTATCATGTATGCATTGTTTTTAAATTCACATACTGCCATTGCCTTTAAATTACAACATGAAAAATTACACGTTTTGAATGTAAGATTTTAAGTACTATTCAATAATCTCATCATATACATCACTATTTCTAAATTTAAATTATAATTTAATATTTTGACTCACTATTTTAATTAATATTTAACTCACTAGCAAATGTCTATGTATGTGTGCGCGCACACACTCACACTTTAAAATTTAACTAAAACCTATCTATATTTCATTTTGAATTTATTTGCTCAATTTTATAAATTTTAATCGAAACTTATTTTTGTTTTATTTTGAATTTATTTTTTCAACTTTAATCATTGTAACTCAAACCATGAGCTTGTAGCAGCATATGCTATTGTTTTGTATGGAGTCTTTACTGATTTTCACAACAGTTAAATTCGTTGAAGTTACATAAACTGTTTCTTATTTTTAATTGACTTGGTATTGTTGTTTCAATCGGCTGTGGAATTATTGATCTTTCATGATCTTATTACTTAAATGGAGTCATCTTTGGGCTGCATATGCTTTACTTTTTGTTAACTTGAGAACACAAAGGAGTTGGTTGTCTAAGACACTTGAAGTGTAAGCTAATGTATAGACATAAAGGAGGACTTTCAGCAAGAATGAGGTTTTTTTTATCAAAAAACCTTTTCCCCACTCTGTCTATGCATGTAGACATGTTTTTACCTAATCTATTCTTCACCATAAACTGTCTTCTCCTAAGCATGTCTTTTTTTGAGTAAGGAATAATTTCACAATTATATTTTGTATTATCTCTTGATTACCAATCTTTAATTGTTTTAAGGTGAGAAGACGTCATCCTTCATTGTGCTCATATTGGTAACATATATGCAGAGGCACGGCTTAGCTACTTAGTTTGGTTTCAAAATTTGCCAGTTCTTCTATAGATTGTGTTTGTGAATTTTGTTGGATGTCCTCAGAACATGCCTTTGGCTTTGAAAATGGCTAAATAGTACTGTATAATTGTTTATTTTGTTATTTACTTTCAAATGTCAATTGTTGATAAATATATTAACAAATTAATTTAGAAGGGTCATGTTTTGAGTGATTTTTTAACGGAATGCTGACTGGAATATGTTTCCCAAATCAACTCGGCATTTCGTTGCATCAAGATAATGATGAAAATTGCTTTGCTAGTGGGCTTTTATATATTCAGTTTTCTTTTTTGTGCCACCAACAAAGATTTCTATAATCATAACCATTTCTAGATGATGATGAGACTGTGCATACTCTGAAGAAAAAGAACTAATTCTCGATAAATTCCCATCTTTTTTTTTAAGAAATACTTGAAAAATGTCTGGTGAAGACGACCTGAAGAAAACCCAAACTGTGGAAGCTCGAGCTAGAAATATTAGCCATAATGTACGTTGTACAGAATGCGGAAGCCAGTCCATTGAAGAGTCACAAGCAGATGTTGCCATTCTGTTGCGGAAGGTATTATTTGATCCTTATGTCTCTTCGTAATTTCTTATTTGTTTGGATTTTTTGTTGATTTATATTTGATACATATCAGTTTATGATCTAATATTTTTTTAATGCAGCTAAAATGATGCAATATACAGATCACGCACAATAAATTAGGATTTACAGACTGTTATATACGTGAAAAACTTGTTTTATCTAGGCGCAAAATGAATTATACAAGAATTATAACCCAAATGAAAATTCATTGATCTAATAAACCCGAAGAAATGAATGAAAAAATTCAAACAACACAAAATCAGTGAGCAATTGAAAAATTTCCACTGCAATCGAAATTTCAATGGTTTCAAATTTGATTGAAGTCAAGATCTCTAGCAAATCTAATAACAAATGTCTAGGTGAAAAAGATGAACGAAAGAATTCACCAAATTGAAGAAATGCATTACCGCAAGGTGATAACTTCTCCCAGAAGTAGATGGTCCCACTAATACCAAGTTTGGAGAAATCACATTTTATCTTGCATAAGATTGAAATTGAAAAATCTTGCATAAGATTGAAATTGAAAAAAAAAAAAACCTTTAATAAATAAAATCTCTTATATCTTATACAATGTATGTAAACAATTTTCATATGACTCCTAAGTTCTCTCAGGTCTCTAGATAAGATCAAATATTCCATAAGATGGTCATTTATAGAATGGCAAAAAGTTAAAAGCACTGAAAAGTCAATATTTAATTGAACAAACATGGCTGGCTATTATACCGAGTTCATAAGCAACAATAGCTTGGCTGACCATCAATACCCCAACTCATAGCAAATAGCTAGTGAAAATTTCAAGGTGCCATTGAACCCACATGATATTGGATAACAAACTCATTTCAATTTGCTCAATGTGAAAATTCTTGAATCCAACTAATTGATCTAATAATATTCATCAAGCAATCTTGACATAAATTTTTTATTTTTAATCAAATAATTGTAAGTCTCAATGAGTTTGTCATGCAAGATTATCATATGATAAAACATAACTTCAGAAATAATGTATATTATAATTATTTGGTAGAGGGTTGGATGCAGATTCAAATGCAGGAGATGAAAAACGGGAAGGATTTAAGGAGTTACAGTAGTTTCGTGAAAAAGGTTAAATTAGATACATTAAAAAATGGATTAATGTTATAATGCCAAAAATCTTTTAATTAGTAAGCATTAATCCCAATATGCTGTAAGGTTTTAAATGGGCAAGTTTTTCTCACATTCATTCTTTAATGATTTTTTTTGGAAGTCTTTTTAAATTTAAACGTATTGTTACTTAATTATTAGATTTAAGCTGTTTATTTGTTCGTCTTATCAACAAAAAAACATTTAATAGTCACAGTCAATAATGAACTTTTTGTGAATATTCTTATACAATTTAGGCAATTATACATGAGAAAAATAATAAAAATGATACAAAACTAATTTGTGAGATAAGGAATACTGAACTTGATTTATAACTAATTCTTATAAAGTGAGATGACAATGAAATTAAAAGACAACTCACATAAATATAATGTGTCTATATAGGCAAGCAACTATATGTAAACAAGCTAACTCTAATGGTTTAAATATAAGTTGTGATGAATAATGCATATTTCAAATTAAAAGATAAAAAGAATTTAGATTTTAAGTTTGCTTTAAGGCATTTGTCATTAACAAATTCTTTAAATTACTAACGGAAACAAATTCTCTTTTATGAATTTATATGTCACTAAACTAATAACCAAATACTAAATTAAAATTAGTTTAATCATTCATTATAAGAATGATGGTAACACATAATTCATCAAGTGTTCTTCTACAGTCTGCTTGATCAGTTGATCAACTACAATTTATATGATTGGTTCTTTTTTTTTTTTGTTAAGAAAAGACTAGATTTCTATTATAAGTTTGTGTTGAGATGTAATCTCATTCTCAACATTGCTTTTAAACTCCAATTAAAGCTCTTGTTCAAGTATAGGTATAGGCTCATAAATAGATTTCTGAAGTAAGTTCAAATTCAAACTTTAATATTAAATGTAGATTCATATGGCAACTGAAAATCAATTTAAGCATCCATGACATCTTCAAGAGAATTTTTATAAACTACTGTTTATTCACTAAGGTTGTATTCAACTATAAATGATTCTTCTATTTGTGTATTTTCAATTGACTTTCGATAAGATGTTTCTATGTTTTTCATAAGACTAAGCATATGTTCAACATTCTTACTTGAACAACAGGTACATTCCTCATTATCTAAAGCTATTTATAAAGAGTCATACAATATTTTTAATGAATTTTTGGCTTTATTAATCTTTAATTTCCTATTTTAGATCCAAAGAAAAATAATATTTAGCTACATGGTCTATGAGCCTTGCATAATTCTGAGGCCAACATATTAATTTTATTATACTTCTGAATTGATGATTCTATATGCACTAAATTATAACTATTACTATGAGTTCCCTCTTTTTGAATATAAGTATTCTTTTTTATGTAGAAGATGCATATCATATTTGGATGTGATAAGACATGTTGATTTGTTTAGGGACTGAACAACAAAATAGTTATTTCTTGTGGCGGTAAACTCAGCAATAAATGAAAACAAAGAAGCAATATATTGAAAGTACAAAAGGTATATTATCTATGAACAATATTTTGAGCGTTGACGAGCGCTGCCTCAATTAGGACGCTGAACAATTTTTGGATCTCATGTGTTTTAAACTGAGAGAATTACCTCTAAAGCTTTTTGATGCCTAAAATGTCGTTTTGAGCTATGTTTTCTATGGGAATGAAATGTTTTGTATTTCTAACTCATTTTGGGCGAACAGCTTCAAGGACAGTGAACCTAACATAGCTGCTGCTGTGATTAAATTTGTGGCAATTTGAACCATTAAAGTGTTGGTATGGAACTTCTATGAATTTTAGTAAATTATTAATTAATAAATAAAACTTTCGTCACAATTATTAGCCTTATGTCAACTATTTGAGATTAGTGAAATTTAATATTTTAATTAATTATATATTATAAGATTTTCAAATTTATAATAATATTATTTTTTACAAATCTTAATATCAATGTCAGAATGTCACAATAATTTTTAAATAAACAATTTCTACTATGTTAGCATGTTTGATAATATTCTTAGTAAAAGGTTATCCACTTTACGGCATTAGGACAACTCTGCAAACCAGAATAACGCAGCATAGCATAATCAAAGAAAGCGAAGACTTAGTGTCCCCAAGTAGCACGACTCACTCGACGAAACAAATCGACCCATCGGTCGATCGACCAACCGAAGCAACAGGTCTCGCAGAACCTATCGGCTAGACCTCTCAACAAAACGGACTATCGTATTCAGGCCAACCAATTACGTTCTCTCGGCATAGGCAGATTCCAGACGACTAGCCAATACGATCGGTCACCCGCCGACCGACAACACTTACTTAAACTCGTAAGTCATTATAAACCGTGATTCTCTGTAAATATTATGACAGTTAATTATTCAAAATATAAGTATTAATTATATTAAGGGCTCTTACCATAACGGTTTTCACCTTCCTTAAATAGACAGTCTCAAGAGGAATAAAGAGACGCTCTCTGCCCTTCTCTTGAGGAAATTACCATGCGCTCTCTTTCTCTTTCTCTTGCCTTTTTCGATCCGGTCTCATTGTGCTCACAAAAAAATAAGTTTGGATTCAACATTTTGAAAGGTGGTGCGGTGAGCGTGAAGCATGCCACATATGAGAAGTGAAAATTGCTACGAAGGAGAAACTTTCCAAAAAGAGATAGCACCCATAGAGCCCAATGGAGATGTTGCGCAACCAGATGTTCATGCAAAGGTCGAAGGCCTACAAGCCCAAATGACTCTCGTGATGGAGCAATTCAAAGTCCTCTGGGCAGTTATCTTCTAGAGGAATGACCAAACTTCTTGTTTGGAAGTGAAACCTCAGGGGGTCTGTCCCCAAAGGCCCCCACTAGGGAGTCCGTCTATTCTAAATGACCAAGTCAGCAACCAACGAACGGAGGGACAAGACGAGTCGTAACACACTGCCATTGCCATGTCTGCATAGGCGAATCGGCGATGAGAAGAGCGGATGCGAGTGTCGTCTGACCACTTGTAGAAGGGGCTTTTACTCGCCTAATTAAAGAGGCGATACCCCCGCCCAAGCTAAGGATACCTCGCTTGGATTCTTACAAAGAGAGGACCGACCCGATGGATCATGTAGCATCGTTCGAGTTATCGGTCGATTTGCTCCAGCTCGACGACCCCATAACGTGTCGTCTCTTATTGACCACCCTAAAGGAGTCTGCTCTTTGGTGGTTCAACGGTCTACGCACCAAAATCGTTCCAAATTATTACGAGTTTAAAAAACTATTCGTTTTACACTTCTCAAACGTACAGAAGCTGAGGAAAGGCTCAGACACATGACTCGACCTCAAGCAGGGAGAAAACGAGAGCATGCGGGCCTACATCACCCGTTTCAAGAATGAGATGTTGGAATTTAGAAATCTGAAGCCTGATATAGCCGGAACAGCTTTGAAACGAGGAATCTGAAGCAAGCGGTTTAGGTTTGACGTAAACCTATTTAAACATGCTAATTTTGCAGAGGTATTGGAGATGGAGAATGAGCATAGACTCACCAAGGAAAACCTTCAGGGCTCCCCAAGGGATATGCCGGAGTTGTCCGATTATCTCTCTAAGAAGTGGAAAGAACGCGATGAACTGTAGAGTGCGAAGGACAATTAGTCGTCCGCTAGTCACCAAAACAACTTTTGGTTCCGGTACCAGCGTGAAAATAACCGAGGGTGCCATGATCGGAAATGACGCTCTGATCAACGGTTGACCCAGTATTACGAGTGACCACCTGTTTACCGGGTAATGCAAGGTTTGACACCCTTCAATGTGTTAATGGTCAATTAGTCCAGACCATCCAGAATAAGGGCTATTTCTAATCAGCCCTGCCACTGAAGGTAACCTCAGCCTTACGAG